CTAGTTGCTGTATGTGGGACTCGGCCTCAGGATGGACGGAGAAGTGGTGCCTCGATGCGCACCCGGGATCCGAACCCGGGTCACCAGCATTGCAGCGCGCGCACTTAACCACCAAGCCACAGGGCCGGCCCTGGATATTCTTTTTTAATAGCATATTTTGTTTCATGGATGGGATATATTTCCACTTTTGTGTTTATTTGTTTGGTCTGCTTCTTTTGTGTAAATATTTTTTTCAGGTGGTTGATAATCCTTGGCTCTCCTTTCATACTGTAATGGAGGAAGGAAAAAAACCTGATTAGAAGCTCTCTGTGTTGTGGGACTTGTCAACCGGAGGGCTTCACTGTGAAATTAGTGAGTGGAGATATGGCTATTTTGTGTGAAATCTTCACATGCCTGTATTTCTAGGTCTTTTCTCTCAGCGAGTTGTCTGATTATTGCCTGAGGAGTGTACATTTGACTGCCACAGCTCTGGGAGGTCAGACAGGGGAAGATGGTGGGGGGGGGGGTCTCACCTGTTTAGTAATCAGCGTTTTAAATTTCCCTGTTTCTAGTCCTTTACCTCACCCTGCCTTCCACTGTGTCTGATATGCCTTTCTGCTTCAGATTTTTCCAGAGATTAAAGCCCCTTGTCTCTTGCCCAGGTCTTTTAGAAAAAAACCCAGTCCTCCTTCTGTGTGTTTCCTTTACTTTCACACGAAACCCTTCTGACACTTCTGGTCACCACTGTGTCTGGGTTTTCCCCTACCAAGCAGTTCTCTGCAACACCAGCTGGGTGTCCTCTAATTTAACTAAATTCTGACACTGTCTACCTGGAGACAGCATCACATACCACAAAGAAGGGCTCAGTCCCACACTTCACTTCAGATGCCAATCACAAGTCCAAGTTGTCACCTGAATGATTGGCTGTAAATCAGAGATTCCCACGACTCCCTCCTCAGATTTGATTAATTTGCTAGACCAGCTCACAGAACTCAGGAAAACAGTTGCTTACATTTGCCAGTTTATTAAAGGATATGATAAAGGATACAGATGAACAGCCAGATGAAGAGATACATAGGGTGAGGTCTGGGAGGGTCCTGAGCACAGGAGCTTCTGTCCCATGGAGTTGGGGTGCGTCACCCTCCCAGTACATGGATGTGTTCACCCACCTGGAAGCTCTCCGAACCTCCTGCTATTGGGATTTTGTGGAGGCTTCCTCATGGAGGCATGATCATTTATTCACTCCATTTTAGTGCTTCCCCATTCTCTGGAGAATGGGAGGTGGAGCTGAAAATTCCAAGCTTCTAATCAGGGCTTGGTCTTTCTGGTGACAGGAGTCATCCAGGAGCCCTCCCAGAGTCACCTCAATAGAACAAAAGATGCTCCTAGTGCTCTCATCACTTAGAAATTTACAGGGGTTTAGGAGCTCTGTGCCAGGAACCAGGGGCGGAGACCTATATATATTTTTTCTATTACCTCACACCAGGTCAGGTTATGTTGTCACTTCTCTGCTCAGGGTGGAGGGGAGGGATCTTGGCTGCTAAGGACTCTTTCTAGACGTTACACTGTTTTTAGCCCTAGCCTTGACTCCTAATTTTGGAAATACCTGATTACATCTGATTTCTGAACCTTTCTTCCTTTGTTGACAGGTTTTTAGTACTTTGTGTTTTTCTAAGTCAGTTAAAACTTTATCAGCTTACCATTTTCCTTAATTTTATTGACCTCTTCCAATTGTTGTGGTATCCCGTCGTCCCCAATTCTCTTTGTCCTTGTAAATTTATACCATTTTTTTCCCTTTACTATCACTTTAGTGGGGTTTGATTAGAGAGTGAGGATAAACTTATTTATTTAATCTACCATATTTAACTGAATTTCTTAGTATGATATTCCATCATTTTATGCACTTTCTTAACTTTTAAGAAATTTCTGACTGTACATAGCACAAAGCAACTTAGAATGTATTTTAAAATTTCCTAAGTTTGTTTGCTGTTTTTTTAAAAGCGGTACACCTGAAACCATTACCCACGTAAATCAAGCTGCTTGTTTATGTACCTGCACTCAGTCTCATTTTCTTTAAGGAATAATAAGAGAAATACTGTTATTTTTCTTATTTAGCATTTCATTTCATTTTATTTTATTTATTTATTTTTTCCCCCCAAAGCCCCAGTAGATAGTTGTGTGTCATAGTTGCACATCCTTCTAGTTGCTGTATGTGGGACGTGGCCTCAGCATGGCCGGAGAAGCAGTGCGTCCGTGCGCGCCTGGGATCCAAACCCGGGCCACCAGTAGTGGAGCGCGCACACTTAACCGCTAAGCCCCGGGGCCGGCCTAGCATTTCATTTTAAATATAACTTTTAAAGTAGCTGTTTGTTTCTTATATGTTGAGTTGGAAATTTTTGAAATTTTGAAGTAAAAATAGATTAGAACTAATCGTGTCTTTAGGGAAAAGTTTTTTTTAATGACTTGACTCCACCTATGAAGAAATAAAGAGAAACTTGTTTCATTTTTAAGTAGCATTTTTGTGGTGGTTCTAAAAGTAAAATATTTGATAATGTTTGTAATGGAATTTATTATATGAATAATGTATCTAAACGAACAAGCTGTACATACAGGGAAAGAGATGTCTTTGATTCTCATGTAATAGAACACTGGTAACCAGAGTATTAGCTGAAAATAATCGTTAGTTATTTTTTCTTCTATTTCACTCTTGTTACTTTTCACTATTTTTACTTCAAAATGCTTGATTCTTCTAATTACTAGATAGTTGTATGCATTTGGACAACCACAAGCAGTTCAATTGCTAAATTATTGGTTATATAGAATACCCCCAAAACATGTCTGTTGTTGTCATGTAGCTTCATTCGATACTGTGGCTGGGCAGTTTACGTGGAGTAATGAGACTTTGAATGCTTGATGTTTGCTATAGGCATTTTCGGAGAGTTCTCTTAAAGTCACTTCAAAAGGATCTGCATGAGGAAATGAACTACATCACTGCAATAATTGAGGAACAGCCCAAAAACTATCAAGTTTGGTAAGATGAAAGAAGAAAGGAAATATGTCACTCTGCTAATAGTACCTGTCAGTGGGTGATGAGATTATAAGGAATTGTTTGTTTCTTTTTTCTTTTGCTGAGGAAGATTAGCCCTGAGCTAACATCTGTTGCCAATCTTCCTCTTTTTTGGCTTGAGGAAGATTAGCCCTGAGTTAGTATCTGTGCCAGTCTTCCTCCACTTTATATGTGGGTTGCCACCACAGTATGGCTGATGAGTGGAGTAGGTCCAAGTCCGGGATCCAAACCCACAAACCCAGGCCGCCGAAGTGGAGCGCACCGAATTTAACCACTACGCCATGTGGCCAGCCCCGGGAAGTGTTTGTTTCTTTATGATTTTAGTACTTTGTGTTGGAGCTAATGTTACCTCTCTCAGGGTTGTTAGGAGGATTAAATGAGATAAATTTCATGTTTAGTGCTTAAAGTGTTACCTGACCCATAGTTAACACTCAAATGTTTGCTGCTATGATTATTTAAAATTTCAACATGAGTATGTAATACTACTAGAGTCAGAAAAAAATTAAGAGAAAAAGTGTTTTCTTTCTTTTTTTTTTCTGTGAGGAAGATCAGCCCTGAGCTAACCTCCATGCTAATCCTCCTCTGTTTTTGCTGAGGAAGACCGGCTCTGAGCTAACATGTATTGCCAATCCTCCTCCTTCCCCCCCCCCCCAAAACCCCAGTAGATAGTTGTATGTCATAGTTGCACATCCTTCTAGTTGGTTGCTGTATGTGGGACACGGCCTCAGCATGGCCGGAGAAGTGGTGCGTTGGTGCGTGCCGGGATCCGAACTCGGGCCAGCAGCAACGGAGCACGCGCACTTAACCGCTAAGCCACGGGGCCAGCCCAGAAAAAATGTGTTCTGTTCACTGTGTTATAAAATAATTTCTGGTGTTTGATCTTTTATTCATTTGTTTATTGAACAGTGTTTTTGTTGATGCTGGGGATACAAAGATGACTAGATACAGTCTAAAGGGAAAGCAAATAATAAAACCAGGTATTTTACAGTACAGTGTGAAAAGCATAATTCACAAAGTATATTTGTTCTAGAAATTAAGCCCCTAAGTTAGCATAGACAAGAGTATGGGGATTATGGGTGGGGGGAGCAGAACACAATGGGGAACAAAGAGAGAAGTTATGGAGCAGGAGGACAGAGAACAAATAGGAAAGAAATCGTAAAGAGTTTGAGCAGTATCTGACGTATAGTAAACACTCCATGAATGGAAGCTACTGTGGCTACTGTTACTGTGGTGGTGGAGGAAGAAGTGGTTGGTGCAGGGGATGGTGGTAGTGAAGGTGGTGAATTGGAAGGGGCAGCATGGTGTACCATCAAGAGCTGTCTCTTCTTTCTGTGCCACTCTGCCTGCTCGTATTGCAGGAGTTACCGCCATTTTACTTTTTCCAATAAATGTCTGACACATATACCACCTTATCTTTATGCCTGAGATTTAAGGATGATTTCTGAGAGGAAAGACCTCTAAGGCAAAGAAAATATCTGAGGAGAGGCATGAAAGAAAGCGTGATGCATAGGGAACTGCATATAATTCTGTGTGATTAGAGTACATTTGGGGAGTCATGGGGTAAGATCATAAGACCTTATGAACACTGATAAGAGATGTAGACTTGATCTTAGTGGCACTGGAGAGCTATTGACGAATTTTAATTAAGGAAGTAACATGATTAGATTTGTGTCTCAGAAGGTTTACCCCGAGAGCAGGGTGGCCGATGGACTTGCATAGGTTTGCACTCCTCATAGGCCATTGCAGTGGTGTACGTTAGGAGAGAGTTTGGGGGCGGTATGGGAGAGAGAAATTTGAGAGAGGTTTTGGAGACGGAAGCAACAGGTTTTGAAGTTTAATTTATTGGGGGAGTGACAGAAAAGAATATATTTGGCTTGACCACTGGGTGAATGGTAGTGCTAAGCACTTGAGGAATTTGGGAGATAAAGCAGCACATTTCTGGGAAGGAAGGATGGGTTCAGTACTGGACAAGTGGAGCTTGATGTGCTTATGGGAAACCTATGTGAAGCTGTCTACTAGGTGGTTGAAAAATGCTCGTCTGGAGTTGAAGTCACAGCTGTGGATAACGATGCCCGAGGAGAAGGTTGAGGATAGAACACAGGTGAGCATCATCATTTAAGAGGCGATGAAGTGTTCCAGGGTGACTGAGGAAGGAACAAAAGTTAGTGTTGTCACAGGAACCAAAAGAAGAGAGAATTTTAAGAAGAAAGGAGTGAATGACAATATCAGCTACTGATGAGAGGTCAAGGAAAGTAAGGACTGAAAGATGACCAGTGGATCTGTTAATTAGGCGGTTGTTAGTGATCTTGGCACCGGGAGTGGGGTGGGTGACCGGGTGGGCAGGAGAGAAGTGGTGGAAAGGGGAAAGAAGCCACAGAGCAGTGGGTTGAATCACAAGTGGGAGATGAAGCTTGGCTGTTGAGAAAAGAAGACATGGCAAGTAGCCAATCAGGGTATGTTTTTTCTTTTTGTTTTTCCAAGGTGGTAAAGACTTCATGTGAGGGGAGAGTATTAACAGAAAGAGAGAAGGTGAGAATTCTGGAGCAAAGGAGGGATAGATTAAGGGCTTGGAGTTGGGAAGGGAGCCAACGCGTAGGTTAGCCGTAGGAGAGAGCACACCTTCGTCCCAAATGTGGACAAGTGTGGACCATGAACTGCTGTCGGGCCAGTTGGCTAATAATAATTTACATAATGAAATATTATCGTTAAGGAGTATGTAACCATATGGAGGTATTTAATTTTCAAAGAATTCAAACATAATAGCCCTAGCAGTAAGTAACTGAACATTATTTGGCAAAGCATGGAGTGGGAGCTGTTGCAGATTTCCATTTGTGGGATTTTGGTTAAACAACCTCTCCACTGTAGCCTCTTTGTTTGTAACTGGATTGTTGCATTCCTGAGAAACTGCATCATAAAATAGTTGTTCTAGTGAGAAAGGCGATTAGCTAGAGAGTTTGGACCCTCACTAAACAGTTATTTGCCCTGCGAATTAAGGTGCTTTTATATAAAAGTCTGTAGCTCTAAAATCCGGGCATCACAAGTGTTCTCAATATTTGATGATATCTAGTTTTTGAAGAGAGAATAGAAATAGCTTTCTTGTCTGGATACTGCAGACCCTGTCTTAACACCTTATCACCTGTTGTTATGAAGAACAAAATAAAGAGCCACCCAGAGCAGCTGCTGTTGAAACCCAGCAGTTTTGTAATTGCGGTACATTTTCAATTGCCCACTCTTCTGGTTGCTGTTATAACCGCTATAGTACAAGTAATGCAAGTCCTGTAGCCTAATTAATTGATGACTTTTTATTAAATTCTCACTATGAAAACTTCTGCTGTAAGATTAAACCCTAGTATTTAATTAATACTCTTTAAATTATAGAACATCAGAGAGAACTTCTTAGTATTTTGTTCTGAGAAGACAACTTGACAAAGACCTAATTAAGTTTTTCCTAAATTATGGAATTTACCAGGAACTTGGAAAAATAGATTATTACTAGTGTTCACTAACTTGGAAGATTTCTGAAATGAATTATTTAGAAACCTTTCCCTCTAGAATCTTTCTCTTGGTGTAGTATCTTGCCTTCTTAGTATTCCATAAGATCAATTTTTTGGTTTTCCATACATGTAGAATAGATAATTCATTAAGCATTAAATCCCTTTTTCCCGTCACCTCTGCTCACTTTTAGTATAATGAATACTCATGGATTTTTTAAAAAACTGCTTTATTGAGATATAATTCACATACCGTACTATTTACCCATTTAAAGTGTACAATTCAGTGGCTTTAGTATATTTGCAGATATGTGAAATCACCATAGTAGATTTTAGAACATTTTCACTAATAGATTTTTATAAATATTTTAGGTTAAAAAATTATAAACATAGAACCCAATAGAAAACTCTTAGAAGTATTTTCCTACTACAGAAACTCCTCTTTTGACAAACCTGCAACTCGACATAGCTACTTGCCGCAGTAGAAGTGAATTTCACGAACTGGTGGAATGAGCAGTGGCTTGTATGGAGACTCTTTGGACCTAGGGAAGACTACAGCCTATTTTGAACCGGAGGAGCTTCTATATTTGATAAAATAGTATCACATTTCCTGTAGTCTCATTATGCCCTCTGGGAATGTTTCACAATTCTTTGACAAGATTCTGTGGTTGTCAAAAGATTACTGTACTTCCTTATTTAGCTTGAGATAACCCTTGTATAAGCCCCAAGTATCTGATTTCGTTTTACACACAAATCGCTGTTTTATTTTCTCAGCTCTTAGTGTTGTGAAATTTTCTCTTAGTGTTTCGTTTGTGTTACCTTTCCCTCCAGTGGAGTCCTGAGAATTAGCGATGACTTTCCTAGTGTAGCACATGCAGCTGGTGCTTTAGCTTTTGGGTCAATTAACGCAGACTTGTCTCCCCTCTTCTCCCGGCGTTAGGCATCACAGGCGAGTATTAGTGGAATGGCTAAAAGACCCATCTCAGGAGCTTGAGTTTATTGCTGATATTCTTAATCAGGATGCAAAGAATTATCATGCCTGGCAACATCGACAATGGGTTATTCAGGTATTGCTTTTCTTATTACGATATTTTTCAGATGTTTACTTCTTAACTGAATTAAATTAAAATTACTATTAAATTGTAAATATACTTCTGAACCAAAACACACATATAGATCATTACCTACAAAATATATAATGATTAAGTATTGTTAAGATACTTAATTAAAACTTGACATCTTCCATGTTGGTTAACCTTTATAATCTCTTGGGATATGTTGGTGAGTAGCTTCATGTTAAAGAAGAATAATAGTAACTTTTTAATATTTTTTTAGATTGAATTTGCATCACATATTTGCTAGCAAATTGAATAGAAAAAGTAGTTATATATGTATATATTTTTTGATGAGGAACATTGACCCTGAGCTAACATCTGTTGCCAATCTTCCCTTTCTGCTTGAGGAAGATTGTCGTTGAGCTAGCATCTGTGCCAGTCTTCCTCTATTTTGTATGTGAGATGCTGCCATAGCATGGCTTGAAGAGTGGTATGTAGGTCCACACCTGGGATCTGAACCTGTGAACCCCAGGCCACCGAAGCGGAGCACGTGAACTTAACCACTTGGCCGCTGGGCCAGCCCCGTAGTTGTAATTTTTTAATACAGCTGTGTTATTTTTATTAACAAGCGCATAGTGTATACTAAGGTTTTTGCATACATAAACTTTGGAATATGATTTTATAGTAACTGTTATGTATTTTATTTCTATCCACTTCTTTTTTTTTTTTTTTTTTGCTGAGGAAGACCGGCCCTGAGCTAACTTCTGTGCCAATCTTCCTCCACTTTATGTGGGACGCCGCCACAGCATGGCCTGACAAGTGGTGCGTCGGTGCGCACCCGGGATCCGAACCCCGGGCCGCCAGCAGCGGAGCGGGCGTGCTTAACCGCTGTGCCGTGGGGCCGGCCCTTCTGTGCACTTCTTAAAATTTTATGCTAAATTCTGAATAGAAGAGAATACTTATAACTCCCACTCTGGGCATTTTATTTATTCTAGCAAACAATTCTAGTGTTGTTTCCCGTGAATTTTTTCTGGTGATTGCTACGTTCTGCACTATTCATGATGCCAAGAGCATCTCACCAAAATTTTTTTACTTAAAAATTTAGACTTTTCTAAATTTGGTTAAAGGGATATGTTTTCTAAAAGTATTCAGTATTTTTATTTTTATGAAATTTTACTTTTTTGCTGTTACAAAATAAGAAATATAACTCCATGAGCTTTTTCATAGTTAATGTCCCCAATTTTGCAGCATTTCTAAGTTTCAACCATTTTACTCCTTTTTCAAATTCTTTATTTATTTTATTGTCTTTTATTTATTTCTCTTCTCCCCATAATTTTTTTTATTAAAATACCTTTATAATATACTCATTTATATCTGACTACATGTATTTTAATGTAATTTTACCATATATGTGCATTTTTGAATTCTTCTCTTTTATTTACTGTTATGTATTAATATCAAATCACATCAAATTAATATACTTTACTCTAGTTAATCATTCTCTTATTTACTGAGTTTTCCCCCCCCTAAATTTTCACCATAAACAATGCATAAGCATTTAGTTAGATATACTTTTTTTTTGTTTTTGATTTAGCTTTAGAATAGTTCTTTAGTCAAATCATATAAACATATCTCTTGGTATCTAAATTGTTCTCAAGAAGATGGTACTGAATTACAGGCCGTTTTGGCTGCTGACTCTCACTTCCTAATTTTTTTCCTTCCTCATGACCATTCCCTTGTCTTTGATGACTTTTCTTCCCTCTCCATTTCGTTGACATAGAACTATCACTTTCCTCCAAATATGTGCCTACTTAGCTTTGCTGAAGTTTAATTTATTTAGTTTTATTGTTTGTAAATAATGGAACATTTCTAATTGGATATTTTATTTTTCATTTAGGAATTTAAACTTTGGGATAATGAGCTGCAGTATGTAGACCAACTTCTTAAAGAGGATGTGAGAAATAACTCTGTCTGGAACCAAAGATTCTTCGTAATTTCTAACACCACTGGCTACAATGATCGTGCTATATTGGAGAGAGAAGTCCAGTTAGTAATCTCCTTCACTTGTTTGTTCCTCAAAAGAATATTCATATGCCTGCCATGTCTTAGGGATTGGGGATGCAGCAAAAATCAAGACTGCCCTCAATCCTACCCTCATGGAACTCATAGGACAGAATACTTAGATGAAATCTATGATGACAAATTTACGAATAATATAGTATACTTCTACTTTGTAGTGTCTTAAGTTTCTTGAAATATTGTTGCTACTGCAGATTGAGAAGATATCAGATTTCATGGTGTCTAGGAAGCTTTAGTTTAAAACTATCTCATTAAATTCTATTGCATTTTAGATAGCATTCCTGGCCTTTATGCCCTATATATCATTAGTAAGTCCCTTTCTCCAGTTGTGACAAACAACAGTGTTCCCAGACATTGCCAAATGTCCCCTGGGAGGCAAAATTGTCCCCAGTTGAAAACTGCTGCTCTAGCATACAAACAGTTGTTATAAGAGCTAGAAGTTTCTCAGGCCAGCTCTGGTGGCCTAGTGGTTAAGTTCAGCGTGTGCCACTTCCACCCAGCAGCCTGGGTTTGGTTCCCCAGGCACAGACCTACACCACTCATCTGTCAGTGGCCATGCTCTGGCGGTGGCTCACATACAAAAAGAGGAAGACTGGCAGCAGATGTTAGCTCAGGATGAATCTTCCTCAGGAAAAAAAAAAAACAAAACTAGAAATTTCTGAATTGGCATGAATGTCTGTATTATATCGATCAACATTAATAGCCACCTCTTTTTTGACTTTGTCTATTTTATCTCAGTGTCTGTTTTAAATTTGAACATGTTTATTGTTTTTATAGCCTCATGAGACCAGAGTCATAATTTTAGTTAAAAAAGTTGTTTTAACAGCTCCTGGGCAGAGCTAATTTTTATGGCATATCTGCCTCTCATCTCCTTTGCCCTTCTGCTTGGATCAGGGCAGCTAGCTTTTCTTTTATCTGTTCTACATAGGGTTCTGGTGATTTAAATTAAAAAAAAAGTCTGTAGTCCAGTATCCTGCATTAACTCTCTGCTCCAGCCTTCTTTCTGGAGCAGCAACATACCCCTGAAGCACACCTTATGCTTTCCTTCTACTGCTCTACTCTTCAAAGCTGCGCTGTCCAATATTGTAGCCACTGGCCACAGATAGCTACTTAAATTAAAATTAATTAAAATTACATAAAATTATGGAGCCGGCCCGGTGGCACAAGTAGTTAAGTGCATGCGCTCTGCTGCAGCGGCCCAGGGTTCGCCGGTTCAGATCCCAGGCGTGCACCAACACACCGCTTGTCAGGCCATGCTGTGGCGGCATCCCATATAAAGTGGAGGAAGATGGGCATGGATGTTAGCCCACAGCCAGTCTTCCTCAGCAAAAAAAAAAAAAAAAAAAAAAGAGGATTGGCAGATGTTAGCTCAGGGCCAGTATTCCTCACAAACAAACAAAAATTACATAAAATTAATTCAATTCCTCAGTTGCTCTAGTCACGTTTCAGGGGTTCATTACCCACATGTGGCTAGTGGCTACCATATTGGATAGCACAGATAAAGAATATTTCCATCATCATAGGAAGTTCTACTGAATAGTTTTTTTTTTTTTAATTTTATTTATTTATTTATTTTCCCCCAAAGCCCCAGTAGATAGTTGTATGTCATAGCTGCACATCCTTCTAGTTGCTGTATGTGGGACGCGGCCTCAGCATGGCCGGAGAAGTGGTGCGTCGGTGTGCGCCCGGGATCCGAACCCGGGCCGCCAGCAGTGGAGCGCGCGCACTTAACCGCTAAGCCACGGGGCCGGCCCTCTACTGAATAGTTTTGATCTAAAGAATAACAGTGGACTTTTTGAAATAATTTTATTATTCTGAAACCTAAGTACTGGGGCTTAAGTAGAGAAAATTCAGACTCGTCATGCAGCAGTGCATTTATTAAGTGATTTTTCCTTTTAGAGTTGGTATTCTGTTGTGAGGATTAGGAAAAAAGTACTCTGAAGGAAAACATAGTATCTTTTAGAAAGTTCAGTAGCTTTCTTGCCAAAAGGTAGAATGCTTCAGGGGCCGGCCCGATGGCGCAAGCTGTTGGGTGCGCACACTCCACTGCAGCGGCCCGGGGTTCACCGGTATGGATCCTGGGCGCGCACCAACGCACTGCTTGTCGAGCCATGCTGTGACGGCATCCCGTATAAAGTGGAGGAAGATGGGCACAGATGTTAGCTCAGAGCCAGTCTTCCTCAGGAAAAAAAAAGAGGAGGATTGGCAGATGTTAGCACAGGGCTGATCTTCCTCACAAAAAAAAAAAAGGTAGAATGCTGCAGGTTATTCTACCTTGAATTAACCCAATTAATAATTAGGGATTTCAAATATTACATATTCCTTATTTGCTGTAGCCTGCTTCATTAGGTTAGGAGAAATAAGATATTTAAAAATTGAGAATGAAGAGTTTGGAAAATGCATATTTCTCTCATAGCCTTCAAAGGCAGATCACTGGCTTTCTATTACCAAATAGAAACAGAAACAATTAGCCAAGAATCCAAAGGAGTTTTCCATACTTAAGATTTATCATACCCTTAAGATAGGTAAAAGAAATATTTAAAATGCTATTTAGTTTAATTAAATTTTTTTAATTCTAAGAATATAAATAGATGTAGCTGATTATTTTCTGTAGTTTTTCCTTTTATTATAAAAAGTAATGCAGTCTAGTTGTGGGGGGGAATTGTACTAAATTGTATAAAGTAGAACATCAAAATCTCTCATTCTCCCTCTTTCCCATATCCCGTTCTTTAGAGTGAGCTACAATTAACGTGAATCCTTCCAAGCCCTGTAATTATATTTGCAAACATTTATGCATAGCAACTTAGGCAATCATATTATACACATTGCTTTTTTCACTTAATGTATCATGGCCATATTTCCAGGTGAGTACACAGTCTACTAGTACTATTAATAGTCGTTACTATTTTTTTAATTTTTTTTTTTTTTTTTTTTTTTTTTTTATTTATTCAGTTTTTTCCCCCCAAAGCCCCAGCAG